TATCAATAGTATACAGAAGTGTTATTACAAATGTTCTTTTATACTTGCTATTTAGGACAACAAAATGACTGTAAATGGGCTTTATTTATTTTCAACGATTTTTTGGAAGATACTGAGATAACCAGTCTAATCTTTTCCTGCAAAATTTAGTTTTAAACAAAACTGCTATTTGTAACTGATGATCGTATTTTCTCTATGAACTGCATCCTTTAGGACCGTTTACTCTATAAACTTCTGTATTCTTATGGAGAATAATTTTAGGATATTTTCTCGCATTTTAACTCCGGCATTTTTAGGATATTTTTTCGCATTTTAAACACCACCTAATACACTTTCACTGTGTTAATTTACCTTTATTATTAAAAAAATCTCTCTCTGGGAAAGGAAATATTCTTAAATCTTTGTATTCAAAACAGAGCTTAGCACGTTTAATAATTTTCATTCATTCAACAGATTTAATGGGCTGGGATGAGTGAACAAATCGAAAAGAAATACTAAGATGAGTCACAGTGACTACATTCACCAGCTCCTTTTTTCTCTGCTAAGTATAGGTCAACAAACATAGTAATTTTGAATAAAGAAAAGTATGTATTAAATATCCTATTGGCAAATCACATTTTACAAGCAGTAAATGAACCTTTCAACAACATTTGAGGACTTAAAAAATACTCATGGCATTGGACAAAGCTATATGACAATGTGAGGAAACGTAATTCTTTAACCTTAAGAAACCTACAATAAGGGGCCGGGGGCTTGATTCCCAGGGCGCGCTGAAATGGCAATTGAGACTGGGCATGGTGGCACGCGCCTGTAATCCCAGCTCTTGGGAGGCTGTAAACACATGATCACTGTGAGTCCGATCTAGTAGTGAGACCTGAACATCCTGTAAACCCCTCCCTAAAATATAGGAAAAAAAAAAAAAAAGAAACCTACAATAAAGCATATATTTAGAATATAAAACAGACTCTGGGTTCAATCTCTAGCAACGACTGAAAAAATGTGTTAATTTTTCCTTTTCCTTTTGTTTGTACTGCTGGGGATCAAATCCAGCAGAGCCCCAAACACAGAAGCTAACCCAAATGCCTTTTTTTTTTTTTTTTTTAAAATGTATTTGGTTGTTACAGGGTCTCACTATGCAGCTCAGAATCACATTGATGCTCCTGCTTTCAGCCTCCCCAGTGCTGGGATTACAGGTGTGCACTGCGTTTATAGGCATGCGCCACTACACCCAGACTCTGTGGCCTGTTCCATGTGCCTGGGGTGGGGCTGGCGTGGCATTTGGTGCCAGGGATGCAACGGTGGTCCCTGTGCTTGCCTAAGCAGGTACTTCAGTCTGCTGAGCTATCTTGCTGGCCCTAAAACACTATTAGTTTAACAACAGATGGAAAGTAGTTTGACCTCAAAAAAGTTTATGTTGGGATGATAAACAGGACTAGAGAATGAAAAATTTAATTGCATACAAAAGAGTCCTTCCTTCAGCATAACCTAAAGGATACAAACGTTTGAATTTGATACAGTTAGCTCCAAATACTTTGCCTGAGAGAGCAAGCTAAAAAAGCATGTTAAAAACATATGCAAAGAAACACAACAGTATCACTGGGTCTTCAGCTAGTCCGGAAAAAAAAAAAAGCAACCCTTCAATGACTTGGTTTCCACCTAGTTTTGAATGTAGCCATAGATTTAATTTCTCAGTGTAAACACGTTGCACAGCAGTTAGGTATAAGGGAAAATTATCACAATGATTTACAAAATATTAGCAAAATCATGATAGTAAATTTTTAAACATCTTTAAAAATGTATGCTTCAATAAAATAGTATTTGAATACTGTTATTTGGTGTAATCTCCTAGTTTAATGATTATTATAATCAAACCTAATGTGCTTCCTGATGTATATATTTTTGGCAGACTCTATAAAATGATTCAGTGTAACTGAAGATAGAATAAATTGTATTCTCTGAAAATGTAAGTAAAATTCTTCTTTATTCTCTCAAGAACTTCTAAGAAATAAGAACAATACAATACTCCTCCTCCTCCTGCTCCCCCCTACCCCTCCCCATCCTCCTCCTTTTCCTCCTTACAAATAGCAAGAATAGTGTAAATAGGAAAATTAAAGAAGAAAATGCGTTCATTGGACCCTCATAGTATACGATAGTTAAGCAAAGTCTACAAACTTGGAAAAATAGAAAAGTATCTTATCTTCTAGTTTATGTTCTGCTCCTTTTTTTTTTTTTTTTTTTGCAGAACCGGGGATTGAACTCAGGTCTTTGTGCTTGGCAGGCAAACGCTTATTCTACTGAGCCATCTCCCCAGCTCCTATATTCTCTTAAAAATAGATTGGTGACTTTTTTGGAGATTTCTTTTTTTTTTTTTAGATTTTTAATTTCTAAAAGAATTAAACCTACTGCTTAATTTCCAGACAATGTTCTGCCAATTTAATTACCTGTCAATTATAAAGGTAATTTTGTAAATAACAGTTCAAAATGATCAAATATGCAAAAGTGATTAAAAGTAGATTAAATGTTTCAGCATTTTCTTCAGATTCCTAGCACGTTGTTTACACTGGCCCCTATGAGCTAAGCGCTGCTGGGCACACTGCTCAGAAATGTGCATCTATCTTCCTTCCAGTTCTTTAGACAGTGCAAGCTAGGATGGGGGCATAAGAAAGAAGTAGAAACCTTGAGGTTAAAGAAAAGAGTCACGCCATTTTCAAAAACACACATGTGAAAAGTAAATGAAAGGAGACAAAACATGCTTGGCTAGATCTTTTGATCATGTAATGCGTTGTTACACATAGCTTTATATTGATTTTAAGAGCTTATGGCAGATATGATTAACACGAACTATTATAAGATTACATGTATAATTAGATGCCTTCCTGTTGATCAGAAATAAGTACATATAAATCAGAATAAACTCTAAATGAAAATGCTACCCCACACATGGAAGTACAAATAGGAGAACAGAGCAAGAGGCTACACATTTTTCATCTGTGCTTAATGAAAGCTAAAAGGTATTAAAAAAAATTTACTATGGTATACCAGTCTTCAAGAGTACAAAATTATGAGTCATTTTAGTTGTTCTCAAAAGACAAGGCACTTAAAAATATCTAGACATGAATGTCTCAAATAAGGGAAGCTGGGGAGAATAGAGGTAAAATAATGAAGGCAAGACTAACAAAAACGTTTGATTTGTCAGTACAAAACAGTCAGGTAAGGAATATGAGAAGCCTAAAATTGATCAAGAGTAAATAACCAATGTAAACACAAACTTCTTAGTAGATTCTCTTTTGTGAAAGGGTGAGCATCCTACTGAATTAGATATTCAATAAATAAAGGCATTCATCCAATAAAAAGAAAACACTGGATTTCTTCAGTAACAGTGTTTGGGTAGATTTCTGGTATATATATATATATTTGTATGTTTGTATATTTTAGGGAAGGATCTACAGGGTGCTCAGGGTCTCACTACTAGATCGGACTCGTAGTGATCCATCTGTTCACAGCCTCCCAAGAGCTGGGATTACAGGCGTGTGCCACCACACCCAGTCTCAATTGCTGTCTCAGTGTGCCCTGGGAGGCGGGGTCGGCATGGCAGACCCGGGGATCAAACCCTTGGCCCCTGTGCCTGCTTGCAGGCGCTTTAATCTGCTGAGCTATTTGGCTGGCCCTGATTTTTGGTATATTAATGACAGAAAGTTTTTAAATTCTGGGATTGGGGGAGTTCCTAGTTAGATAAGGGCAAAACACTGGTAAACCAACTACATTATAATATTATATAGGATCTATTAATGGGGAGAGTTAAAAAAAAAAATCTGTTAAAGGCCAACCAGAAGGACCAAAAATATAGCTCTGTGGTACAGCACCTGCTGGTGGGTGAGAGAGAGGTCCTGAGTTCGATTACCAGTCCTCACACCCCCAAAGCCCAACTAGAGGTAATGGTGGGCCTTATGAAAAATGTTTCCATGTTCAAAAATTATACTTTTAGCAACAAAATGAGAAACATTTTATCATAAACAATTGAAGTAGCTTGCTCAAGAGGTAGCTGCATTTCATTATATATTAAATATTTACATATGCATATTTATGTATTTTGCATTGCTTAGGAATTAACACAGGGTTTTCTGTTTTTTTCTCTCTTTTTTTTTTTTCTGTTTTGTCTTAACATAGGGTTTTATGCATGCCAGGCAACAACAACAACAAAAAACGCATGTGCTAATTTAAGAAATGTTAAAAAATACTAAAGAGGAAAGAAATTGTGGGGAAATCAGCAAAAGTCAAGATAACATGAAATTTTGGTTAAGAACAAAAGGAGCTTTCCTATCTTTAGATCAATTTCATAAAACTGATTTTTCAAGTGACACAGGAGGGCCCACTAGAAAGCCTCAATTGAAATTCTTCTAGCAAAGCTCCATCACTGATTTATATATATATATAAAAATCATATGTTCACAATTATTCTTTCACATATTTACCATTAAAATTCCCTGTGAAGGTATACACATTATGATTCTGTTTTATATACACCAAATACTATGGTATTAAAATTAATTCTCTTCTTGGTCATTTGTCATATTGTGCTGGTCTACACTCATTTAATGCAACTGTTTCTTAGGAGTTTTATGGAAATCAATCCAGTTAAAACGTTGTATATTAGAATGTGTTAAACAATTACTTTTTATCCAGTAAAGGCTATCATAAAATTTATGTCATGCAAAAGAAAGGTTATTTTAAGAAAATTATTCCATGTGTTGCATTTTAAATCTAAGTTTTGTACATTGTCTTTCTGTACAGTAATCTAGTAGCCACTGATTACTATAAAACTTTATTTCCATAAAAACAAGCAAAAAAAATCACATTATTATTGAAAAAAGTAAAATCATAAAAAGGTATTTTCTTAAGAATACTTAATGAAATTATTTTTGTGAAATGCTGATTTTAAATGATTAAACAATTTACTACCTACCTTGGACTTGAGGGAACCGCCCCAATTTTCATCCACAGACTTCAAGAATAGCTCCTGCATATAGCTATAAAAGAAAACCCAGAATTAAAAACTTGGTCTCAATTTAAAAATGTGGGGTAGTGGGTAGGGGTAGTTGACAGCAACAAAGAGTTTGTCTAGCATATAAGAAGCCATGGGTTTGATCTCCGGTACTGCGAAAAGAAATTTTAAAAATGCATAGCATAAATGTTAGTTAAGAAGATATGCAGATCTTTAAAAAATAACCAGAGTTAAGTTAGACCACAAAGTTCCCATTAAACAGAGGAAGAAATATAGGTCCAGGTAAAGTATACTCCTTTAAGATTTGTAGTTTCAGTAGGACATGGACAAGTGTAGTCTGAAAAGTTTCCATTCCATGGAAAGTTCTAGAAATAAATCAGAAGTTTTAAATGTATTGTTCTAAATAGTGTGATGCAATATCATTCCATCTTGCCCGAAATACAGAATCATTGTGTTGTATCCACTCCACTCTCTATAGGCTATTAGTCATTTAGCAGTTGTCTAGCTATCTGACCATTGTGCTATCACAGGGCCTGTACTCAAGTAGCCTTTATTTTATTTTAATTTTTGGCAGAACCGGGGATTGAACTCAGGCCCTTGTGCTTGCCACAGAAGCACTTATTCTACTGAGCCATGTCCCTGGCCCACTTTATTTTATGTAACAGTAGTAATTCTGGCAATTCAGATATGTCAGCACACTGTTATAATTTTTTACTGTGAGTCTTGGAATATATCTCTCACCTTGAAGGAAGGACGCCCGTACTGTATATTGCAGTAATAGTAAACCTTTTAGAACCAAGTGCGCAAACTGCAATTCAAAACTCACTTATTTATCACAAAGTGCCAACACTGTAATTAAACTTCAATACTGAGGTTTTAATTTAGGAAAAAACTCATACATTAACATCTTTTATCTTAAAAATAAGTAAGAGCCGGGTATATATCTCAGTGGAATAAGTACCTACATGGCAAGCACAAAGTCCTGATTTTGATCCCTGGTTAAAAAAAAAAAAAAAAAAAAAAAAAATCCATCATGGGTTTGCTACTCTGGTATACTCAACAGAACAGGAACATAAACCCTACTTGGGAGTATGCGTATACCTCCTCCAAAATATTAATGTACATATAACTCAGTTGTGTCCCAAATTTTCTAATCAAGGAGATTATGGGGCCAAAGAGGAAAGTGATCAATGATGTCGAGTCACACGGAGAGAAAACATTCTCTCAGACTTTCACAGACAGCAAATTGGTCAAGCAATGGCCATGATTCATCCATATGGCTGACACTGACAAAGGATCTATAAACTGTGGTACAGGGTTTCAGGATAAATCCTGAGGGGATTTGACTGACCTTATCAGATACAAAAGTTACATTTCTTGTTATATAGGTCTTGCTTTATCTTGGTCTTAACCATCTTCGCATACACACGAAGTATAAAAAGTAAAGCCATATTAAAATGCTGAGGTGTAAAAGGCTCAAGTCATCAACATTGCCAGTCTTACAGAAAACCTACTACTATTATGGACTACTGGACTATATTGGAATATCTTGCTGAATTCATGCACCTACAATATTTAAATGACAATGGAATACCTTTCTCTGACGAAACTAACCAAAAAAGGGGGATACAAATGAACGACCATTTGGTATCTGTATATTCAAAATAGTCAAGATAGATATACAGCTGCATTCTCTAAATTCAATGAACACAGAGATTTGTTCTAATAGTGTTTGTGGACAGGATATCATGTCTGCATCTTGTACAATGAATAATCACCAAGACAATATTCAATGTATTAATTATTGAAACTGTGCTAGTAATTGGGTTTGAAACTGTCTCACTGCTATTTGTTTCTCAATAAAATAAAAAAATAAAACATTAAAAAAATACTGATGTATAGATAATGTGGCTGAACAAAGAACTTTAATAAGATGTCCTAGGAAGGTCTTCATAGAATCTTTGTGTGTGTGTGGTTTTTTTTTTTTGCGGAACCGGGGATTGAACTCAGGCCCTTGCACTTGCCAGGGAAGTGCTTACTCCACTGAGCCACCTCCCCAGTCCGTGTGTGTGTGTTTGAGACAGGGTCTCACTATGCATTTCAGGTTCACTTTGTAGCCCAGGCAGGTCTTGAACTCACAATGATCCTCCTGCTTCAGCCTCCTGAGTGCTGGGATTATAGGTGTGCACCACATTTGGCTTCACAAAATCTTAAGTTGAACACAAGTATATATGCTGTACTATGCATATATATTCATCTAGCTAAGACAGACCCTTAATAAGAATTCTCTCAGATTGCTTTTAGTATGTGATCAATGGCTTAAAATTAAAATTTAACACCTTTTAAAAGTATTTAAGGAAGTGTTATGTAAAGATACAGAAAAGTCAGCAAAATCTCATTATAAAGGACTCAAATATAAATATTTTCCCTTAATGAAATTCAGTGAAATGAAGTCAATGGTAAACAATGCTTCTCTAGCTACAAAGCCAGCACATTCTCTTTATAGTAAAAGCTTATTAAAAAAAACCTCAAATGTAAATATTTTATTAAAATAAATTCAGTTGAAATGGATTCAATGGTAAATACCCCTGCCCTCATTTTTGTAGCTGTAAAGCTTACCTAATTCTTTAGAAAGACAGAAATATATATCTGGGAATATTGTGACTCAGAGAAGGGCAGTAGTTTTAAAACCATAAGAAATTCATTTCTTAGTTTTTACATGTGCTTTTAATGAAGGTTGAAGAGCTAAACACTGATTTACTCTTAAGCTCTAAAGTTAGCAATTAAGGAAAAATAAAATCACACACGAGGCTTATTTGTTTAAGGCACCTTAAAAAATACAGAAAAGTACAAAGTAGAAATTTAAAAGATACTTATAATGTTGAGATAATTCTGGACTACGTCAAGAGTTCCTCAAGCCTTGAGGTGTCATAGATCTTTTTGATAATGTTATAGTATTTTGCTTTTTTGTAAGCCGTTCATGAATTCTCTGAAAGCACTGATGGATTTCAGGTAAGAATTATGAGGACCTAGAGGTTAGAAAGTCCTTTGCAACAATAAAATTTAAGTTGATCTAATTATATGGTTTTTTTTTTTTTACAAAATGTGGACACTTTTGATCACAGAAGTTGAGAAAAAAATCTTTAAAAAAATACAGCCAGCTGGGCATGGTGGCACACCCCTGTAATGTCTCAGCATTTGGGAGGCTGTCCTGTGCAAGATGGCTGCAAGTCCCCGCCCAGTCTAGGGAACTCAGTGACTTAGTAAGACCACGTTTCAAAGTTATAAATCACCTCTTACTACCACTGCTGCTGCCACAACCATCACCGCCTCCAAGTAGTCACATGCAATAAATAGATAGATGCTCAAGAAATGAAATGAAAACTACAATGAGTTACTTTATATGTATCAGAATGGCTATTATCAAAAAGGAAACAAGGAAGTAGTGAGGTTGGAAAGATGAGAAGCCTATGCACTGCTATTTTGACCATGAACTGATGTAGATGTTATGTAAAATGTAATTATAGTTTTGAAAAACTAAAATGTAATCTGAGATTCTGGAGATATATATATATCTCAATATATATATATTCAAAAGAAGCAAAAACAGGGACTCGGATATTTATATAAGGTTCACGGCAGTCTTACAACAGCCAACAATAGAAGCAATCATAATGTCCATCACTAGAATAAAGCATTAGAAAAGTATGGTACATAAACATAGTGGAATATTATTCATTTTAAAACAAACTCTAACACAACACAACACAGATGAATGTTAACATTTTTTCAAAGGATGAACCCTGAAGTGTAAGTATAAAAGATCAGTATCTTATGATTTCTCTAAATAACTAATATGAATTTAGATGACAAATTTAATGTATAAGACTAGATTAAAACCTGGCTATTTATCTTGCCTTTGTGATCCTTTGAAAATTTTTATTGGAGACTCCAATACTTTAAACACAATGGTATTTCTCTACACCATTTTTTTTTTTTTTCCAATACTTTTCATAGCACGACCAATGGAAAATGGTAAAAAAAATGCATGGGGACCGGGGCAAAGGAGGAAATCTGCTTACAACCAGGCAGAACAAGCCTGGGAGCCTGTGTGTGCCAACACTAGGCCCCATGTGTTATCTCAGGGTGGAGGAACGCAGTATTGTAGCATACCAGTAATCCATTCAAGGAAAACATTTTTCTATACCATAAAATGACAAGTGATTAATTAATTAAAACCAATAAACAGATATTCTTCAACAAATAGGCAATTTGAACATGACCTTCAGGAAAATTTATATTGATTTCCTAGTCTCAGGGATTTTCTCAATAAATGTCCACAGAACTCTGCTCACATTATAGCGTACCAGAAATATTCTATTAACTTGATTGTAAGTAGAAAACGTCTGTTAATTTCCTCCAGCATCTGTTCAATATATGTACACTTAATGCTGAGAATTACTTTTAACAAAATTAAATGCCTCTTGTTTTAACATGTAACTTTAAAAATATTTCAAAGTAAATGAAAATGTAACTCAAAATTGAGTACATTATTCAAATTTTAAAAACATTAGGGTCGGCCAAACAGCTCAGCAAATTAAAGCACCATCAAGCAGGCTCAGGGGCTGGGGGCTCAACCCCCGGGAGTGCCATGCTGGCCCTGCCCCTGAGGCACGCTGCGGCAGCAACAAAGACTGGGCCTGGTGGTGTGCGCCTTCAATCCTAGCTCTTGGGAGGCTGTAAACAGGCGTATTACTACGAGTCCAATCTAGTAACGAGACCCTGAACACCCTATAGACCCCTCCCTAAAATAAAAAAAACATTAACTTGTGATACTAGTTGATATTTTGCTTATGAATTTATAATGCTAACAGGAAAATTCCTTTGTTTTTAATGGCAAGTAAATTAATTACAGGTTGTAGCAAACAAATGTTTTATAAAGTCACCAAAAGCATCTTTGGCATGACAGCCACAAATTCACACATGATGAAATGTATGCTATTTATAAATAATAGGAATTCTCTA